TGTGGAAAGATCGGATTCCTCGCGATCGGATCGGATTCCTGAACCTCGCGAAGACGATGTTCATGCGAAATGGATTGGTACCTGATGCTCCTTCTGCGCTGTACGGAAGGAATATCTCTGAATGCTCCAGCTATGCGTGTCTAGGTCGGGAAGTCATTATGATGAACGACTTAGCTCCGGAGCTGAGCAGACGGAAACGCGCGGCGTGAGGAGTATTTAAGAATATCGAGGGAGTAGTGAAAAAGGCAAAGAACGTCCGGCTACGCGCTCACCTTTTCGACACTGCTGTATTTCCTGCTTTGACGTACGCCTCGGAGACTAGGACTCTATAGAAGCAGGATGAGCATGCAATTAGCGTCATTGAACGCGCTGTGGAAAGGACGATGATCGGAATTTCTCCATACACGCAAGTGCAGATGGGAGTCCGGAGTTCCGAGCTCCGTCGACGAACGGAGATCAGCGATGACGTCGAATCGCCAAGAAATCGAAAATCAGATGGACCGGGCAAGTTTTGCGATATGGTGACGACCGTTGACCAGGGAGATTACGGACTGGATCCCTGGTCACATCAAGCGAACACCAGGACGGCCGTCAGCGAGATGGTCAGACTTCTCCACGGAAGCTCTGGACGACAGGAATGTTTTGCCCCGTGTCCATCGAACAATTACGAATCACTGGACTACTTTGGCTCGCGACAGGGACAAGTGGAGACGTTACTGGCGCCCGCCCGAGGAAATCGAGTTTCAGCGGGAGTACAGGTGATACAGGTGATCCAATAACTGAGCGGCGGTTGTGATGCATCGTTAACGCTTAAAAGCTGGCCCATATTCGAGATCGGCCTACATCCATGCATGTAGCTACAAGAACATTAGGGTCTGAAACACAAATGGGCCGGAGCTGCTAGATTGGCCCATCCATAGATGCATCCTGATTTTTATGAAATCATACATAACGCGGGGAAATCGTGGTGACATAATTTAATGTCTTGGGTTTTTACTAAATCCGAGCGTTCTCGAATGGCTCATATTCGGTTGAGTAAAAAGTTTTCATCGACTCTTCATCCCTTTCTAGATTCTTTCGTAGGACCGCTCAGAAAGACTTCGTGATAGACTGTGATAGACCGATCCCTAACCTGTACTTTTGAGTTATTTAAGCATTCCCTTATAAGTGGTTGGCAAATATGACTTCAACCTTCAACTGTCGTCCGAAGCTGTCTGCGAGCTATCGTCTATTAAAAGTTACTATAAGGGCATAATCCACCGACAGTAAGTAGCCGAATTTGGAAAGGAAATGCTGCTCTATTCTCCTTATTCGCCAGGTCTCGCTCCGTCTGGTTACCATTTGTTTTTTGCTCTGAAACATCACCTTCGCGATAGGAATTTTGATGATTGCACGGATCTCAGAACTGATAACTGATCTCCACCTTTTAGAATCGCGGTCGCCACCCTTCTGGGCTTCAGGAATCAAAAAACTGCCGGCTCGTTAAACATGTGTGTTTGACAACGAGGAATCTTATATATATATATATATATATAT